GGTAAGGTTGACGATGGTCGTTTTTTGGTAAGGTTGACGATGGTCGATCATGTATCACATGTAAACTGCAACAAATCTTTGTAACAAGAAGGATTTACATGTCGATGTTATATAATATATTAATATATGTGTGAAAATACAAGATGATCTCAAGTATTCTAAGTTGGTAGATGTTGGAAGATAATATTTCTTGTCATTATTACAAATTCAACGCATCTCTCATTTTTATAACCCTTAGTGTCAGAATTATTTCTTAATTATGATTAGTTCATATCATTTTACATGTTATATCCGCCGTGTGATTGAAACATATATCTTGATTTACAAAATATGGTATCAATTAATAATCGATTCTCATTAGGTAATAATAACATGGAAGAAAAAGGGAGAATTTTTGGGTTTCCGACAATATATATTTTAATGATATAACATTTTGAATAAAGACATCAAAGGATCCAAAAGGGTCCTCGCTCACCAACATACACTAAGGGGGAATAAAACCGGTTTATTTAAGTGTTTATTATCCTTTAGTCTCTTTAGGTATTGTTTTAAAATGTTTCCTCAAAACAAATGTTTGGTTTTATTATCCAGAGGCCATGCACCACTTAAAAGTGGGGAACACACATGTGTGTGCATTCCCCTTTGGTTAAGGCATTTCTGAAATTAAGAACTAAGTCTATAGCTTATCATCAAATTTATGAATAATTTCCATGCTTTAAGTTTTTTTTCAAAGGTTAGATTATATGTATGCAAACCTAAATTATGAATGCTAATATGATGTTATCGCAATGCGGTTAACCTTTTTTCTGATGGTAATTGGAATTTGTAAGTGATTTAATTGGGAACGATTCATAATAAGTAAGGTTGCCTAAATGGAACGGTTCCACGATTTTAAGCTATTACATCCAAAGGTTATAGTGGTATTGGTTTAATTAACTGGTAGAAGCATCCTAAGTTTAAAGAAAATTTTATTTGAATCTCCTACCATGATGAGACTTGTAGACGAAAACAAGAAGTCATATATGAAGATTTTAGTTGTGAAGGACTTTTAAAAATCAGGTAATTTAAAACACTATGTTTTACGTTTACTTTATGCGTCACAATGTTATATTTATGTTTCAAATACACAATAGTTCAGTCATTTTTTCAATGGACAATTAC